TGGGTGGGGAGGGGAGGGTGGGGGGGGGTGCTGGGTGGGGAGGGTGGGGAGGGGCTGGGTGGGGAGGGTGGGGAGGAGCTGGGTGGGGAGGGGCTGAGTGGGGAGGGTGGGGAGGGGCTGGGTGGGGGGTGGGAGGGGTGGAGCTGGGTGGGGAGGGGCTGGTCACCCCGTGGTGCCCTTATAAAACTCAACGTTTAACCTACTCACGCCGGCTTGTGCCCGCCCTCACAGTCGGCCATATTTGCGGAATACACCACGCCGCCGTTGACCCTGGCCATTGACCGAGCAACACACGTTACTACCAGCTCCCTCCGCAGGAATGTGTTTGAAAAACACTACCGTAATTGTGTTCTGAATTTATTTATTTTAATAAGATATTTCCCCCAAATTGTATCTCAAGTGTGTATATCTGTGTCACGCTTAGAATCCATTAGGAGACGTCTCCGAGGATTGCTGCCCCTCCTTGAGAGAGAACGAATGGCCCACAGAAGCGGACATCGCAGACCTACCGCTGAGATTCGCAGCTTCACGTTTTTTCTTTTTCTTCAAGCGACTTTCTGCTTCACGCACAGTAGAGGGCGCCACTTCTCCACGCACTCGGCCACTTTGGTTTCGCGTAACAATCAAACAGATGTCGATTTAAAGCTTTCGTGACTGCATGGATTCATCTTCTTGGTTCTTTCGGTAAAGTCACGTAGAATGGTAATAATAAAATAATAAAAATAAAACATAATAAAATAATTCTCACGACGTTTCGGCCACAACGCAAGCAGCCGTCCTCAGGTGAAGAACAGGTCTGTCGATAAAACAAAGTCTGAATGACACGTCCTGGGCTTGGAGCGTCTAATTAAGATGGGAAATTCAGATATGCGACTAGCACTACTTGTGATTACTATACACCACCCTATACAATCAAACAGATTGCGATCTTATTCTTATGATTATTTCTTCATCCTCAGGAATAAATAATAATATCCATAATAGACGTTTTGTTTCGGTGGTGGTGGTGGGTGGGGGGGGGGGGGGGGTTAACTCGCGTGAATATAAATGTGTCGTTAAACCCGTCACCACCCGACACAGCCAATTAGTAATATTTTGTCACGATAACAAAAACGTGCCAATTCGTTGCTGGTTCAGCACACAGGTGTGTTGGAGAGTAAACCCACAACATTTACAATTCGAGTCCGACGTTTCGCCGGCAATTACAACCAGCCTCATCAGGCGACAAGTCGAATTGTAAATATTGTGGGTTTACTCTCCAACATCAAGTTCAAGTTCATGTATTAGGTATAGCCCTGTGAGCCATTCGGCTCTTGAATTGGGTGCAACCGCAACCAACAAAAAAAACATGAATAAAAAACATCTTAAAGTGACTATGTGACTAAGTGCAAACAGAAAATTCAAGAAAAGACAGCAAAATATTGCAGAAAAAAATCACCATACACTATAGTGAGGACACGCCCCTCTCAGTGTGTGAATCTGACTCTGACACTATCCAGTGCTCTTAGGTTTTTTCGGTAAAGTCACGTAGGTAAAAAAATTTAAATTAATAAAAGTAAAGTAAAAATAAAATAAAAATCACGACGTTTCGGAGGCAACACAAGCTTCCGTCTTCAGTGATACAGCTATCGTGCTGTGACGGTTCCACCTGAAGACGGAAGCTTGTGTTGCCTCCGAAACGTCGTGATTTAGTTTAGTTATTTTCATTTATTATTATTTTATTTTTTATTATTTTACCTACGTGACTTTACCGAAAAAACCGAAGAGTATGAATCCTTGCAGTCACGAAAGCTTCAAATCTAGAACTATCCAGTGCCTCCCCAGCCATTGACCTCAGCGCACATCACTGGGCTTGATCGGCGTCGTGATCTATTGGGAGCCCTCCGAAGGTCTTCCAGCAGCAGCCAGCCAAGACACTCGATGCGTGGATTATTAATTGCATTATTAATATGATGCGATAATCACGTGACGTCCGTGTTATTTAACATATGGACGTGTTATACTGGTAGGAACCTCCTGGTTACGCCAGCCCACATGGGATTATTGTGTCCGTCGTGCAGGGAGGGGCTGGGTGGAGAGGGACGGGCGGGGAGGGGCTGGGTGTGGGGGGGGGCTAGGTGGGGGGTAGGAGGGTGGGGAGGGGCTGGGTGGGGAGGGGCTGGGTGGGGGGGCTGGGTGGGGGGTGGGAGGGGTGGAGCTGGGTGGGGAGGGGCTGGTCACCCCGTGGTGCCCTTATAAAACTCAACGTTTAACCTGCTCACGCCGGCTTGTGCCCGCCCTCACAGTCGGGCATATTTGCGGAATACACCACGCCGCCGTTGACCCTGGCCATTGACCGAGCAACCCAACGTTCCTACCAGCTCCCTCCGCAGGAATGTGTTTGAAAAACACCACCGTAAGTGTGTTCTGAATTAATTTTTTTAAAGAAGATATTTACCCCAAATTGTATCTCAAGTGTGTATATCTGCGTCACGCTTAGAATCCATTAGGAGACGTCTCCGAGGATTGCTGCCCCTCCTTGAGAGAGACCGAATGGCCCACAGAAGCGGACATCACAGACCTCCCGCTGAGATTCGCAGCTTCACGTTTTTTTCATTTTTCTTCAAGCGACTTTCTGCTTCACGCACAGTAGAGGGCGCCACTTCTCCACGCACTCGGCCACTTTGGTTTCGCGTAACAATCAAACAGATGTCGATTTAAAGCTTTCGTGACTGCAGGGATTCATCTTCTTGGTTCTTTCGGTAAAGTCACGTAGAATGGTAATAATAAAATAATAAAAATAAAACATAATAAAATAATTCTCACGACCTTTCGGCCACAACGCAAGCAGCCGTCCTCAGGTGAAGAACAGGTCTGTCGATAAAACAGAGTCTGAATGACACGTCCTGGGCTTGGAGCGTCTAATTAAGATGGGAAATTCAGATATGCGACTAGCACTACTTGTGATTACTATACACCACCCTATACAATCAAACAGATTGCGATCTTATTCTTATGATTATTTCTTCATCCTCAGGAATAAATAATAATATCCACAATAGACGTTTTTTTCTTCTTGGTTCTTTCGGTAAAGTCACGTAGTAGGGAAGTAATAAAATAATAAAAATAAAACATAAAAAAATAGACGTTTTGTTTGGGTGGTGGTGGTGGTGGGGGGGTTAACTCGCGTGAATATAAATGTGTCGTTAAACCCGCCACCACCCGACACAGCCAATTAGTAATATTTTGTCACGATAAAAACGTGCCAATTCGTTGCTGGTTCAGCACACCGGTGTGTTGGAGAGTAAACCCACAACATTTACAATTCGAGTCCGACGTTTCGCCGGTAATTACAACCAGCCTCATCAGGCGACAAGTCGAATTGTAAATATTGTGGGTTTACTCTCCAACATCAAGTTCACGTATTAGGTATAGCCCTGTGAGCCATTCGGCTCTTGAATCGGGTGCAACCGCAACCAACAAAAAAAACATGAATAAAAAACATCTTAAAGTGACTATGTGACTAAGTGAAAACAGAAAATTCAAGAAAAGACAGCAAAATATTGCAGAAAAAAATCACCATACACCAAACATACGAGTGTGCTGACCATGTAACGAATTGGCACGTTCTGTTTACGTGACAAACCTTACTAATTTGCTGTGTCGGGTGGTGGCGGGTTTAACGACACATTTATAATCACGCGATCTAACCCCCCCCAAAAGCCCCCTCTATTAGAGGGAGGACACACAGACTCCACACGCTCACCGCTAACCACACTCAGTCACACTCCGCAGAACAGGGGCAGAACAAAGTGAGCCCGCATGCGGAATCGAATCTCGTCCAGGGCCCCTTCCACTTGTGAGGCGCACGTGGCAACCACCGCGCCACCCGACCGGGTTGTTAGTGTCAGGCTTGCCTCTGTGTGTGTGTGTGGACAAAGTCCCATCGGTGAGCTCCTCCGGCAGGCAAGGCTGCGTTGGCTGGGCCATGTTGCCCGCATGCTCAGCCACCGCATGCCCAAACAGCTTTTGTTCGGCCGGATCGAGAGGGCTTAATGGGCGCGGCACGGGCTAGAGAAGAGATGGAGTGATGTGGTACAGGAGGATGTGGAGCTGAGTGGACTTGCCGATGACTGGTACCAGCGGTGTCAAGACCGGCCTCTTTGGAGGAGGTTCGTGAAGGACGCTACTGGGCAGTTGGAGGCAGTCGCCCTCCAGCAACAACAGAGGGCGGAGGAGCGACGCTCACAACAACGAGCGGAGCGCCGGGTGGCTAAAGCACAGCAAGTTGGTACAGTAGGGGGCACAGGTGGTGCATCAGCCAGTCATCTCGGTCATCTCGGTCAGTCGACCCGTGGCACCTGCTGGGTCTGCCCCGTGACCTCCTGCCAGCGGGCGTTCGACACTTCACGTGGCCTCAAGGTGCACTTGGCCTGGCGCAGGCGTCGTGGTGACGTCACCGCCACTTAGTGGCGAATGGCGGTTGTTGTTGTGTGTGTGGGGAACGGTGGTCCAGTGGTTAGCGCGTTGCGCTACGAACCCGGCGATCCGAATTCGATTCCCACTGGTGATGATTATCTGAACCGATCCTGGGCCTCCCCTAAGTCGACTCGGCCTCAAATGAATACCTGGCGCGGTGTGTAAACATCGCCACTGGGGAGACAAAGGCGGCCGGGCGTGGTGCTGGCCACCCACCCCCTCGTGTACCATTCCGGCCTTCATAGGTGCTCGCTAACAGCACTTGCCCCTACAGTCTGTTTGGGCTATACGGGGGATCTTTGTATTGGTGTTTGGCTGTTAGCCGGCTTGCCTGATGCAAACAACCATGGAAGAAAAACCACGCCATGGCATGGATCCTGCGAATGCTTTTCAGCATCCGCCTGACGTTGGGCGCACAAATAAAAGAGTTTGGTTTTATAAAAATATATTTTTGTATCCTTGCCCCATCCCCCCGTGACAGATGGACGGACGGCATTGACAACAATAGCGACCACACGACACACACACACACGACAGCGCGGTTGCTTTAATTAATCTTTATTACGGCCAAACAAGGATCAAGGACAACAACAACGATCCCGCTGTCGAGCTGATCCCGATGGCAGATTGAAGGCACCACCTTCGGGCAGCGGCGGAAAACCCTCGCGGTGGCGCCGGTGCGGTGACCGGCAACAGCGAACGGACCGCGAAATCCGCTTCGAAGGAGGAATCGTCGCGCTCGCCGCGTAACGGCACCAGCGCCACCACGAACGGTGCCGCGCTACGTCAGGTGGCAACCAACGGCGAGCGTCGACTTCCCACCGCTCGCCGCCACCGCCGCAGCCACCACCGCCGCTCAGCTGCCCAGCGTCATCTTGTCGAAGAGGTACTCGCCCACTCCGGCCTGCGGCACGCCGAGGCGCTTGAGGTTGGTGATGTGCTCGCCCAGCTGCTTGATGGCGTCCACCTGCTCCTCCAGGTAGTGGCTCTCGATGAAGTCGCACAGCTGGCGAGGGGGGCAGGGGGCGAGAGGGCGCTTCGGTTGAGCATCGCAGTTCATCGGAGGTTCGCTCCCCCCCCCCACCCGGCCCCCGGCCCGGCCCTCCTTCGTTATTCAAATCATGAGAGATCATTGTTGGTTTCTTTTTGGTTAGGCCAGGGGTGGGGAACGTATAAGGCCCGCGAAATCATTTGGGTCTGGCCCTGACAAGGCAACCACAGGCGGGACTCGAAATTCAATAAATCTTAAAAGCAAACCTGGAAAAGCAGTTGCGAGTAGCAGCAACATCATCAATGCCAGCAGCTAACATCACACGCCTCACCAAAGGGAAGCGGTTCCAGCCATCACATTAGGGGGTGAGTTCATTAAATGTTTGACCAAATATAACAACGGGCTAAATTTAAGTTGATAATTTTGCGTGACCCGCGAATGATGTTATACATATCCAAATGGCCCTTGGCAGAAAAAAGGTTCCCCACCCCTGGGTTAAGCAATGAGGTCACTACCCCCCACGCCTTCCCCAACCCCTCCCACCCCCTGAGATCCTAAATGAAGATACAGCGAGCACTTTGATCGCAGTAGTAGGAGTGACAATCGTCGTGCCAACGTGCTGGCGGCCAGTGGCCACGTGCTCACACATGGGAGCAAACCGGGCCACCACCAGAGAAAACAACCCCCACACGTGCGAGGGGGACAAACACCGTATCCCACTCAGGTGGGCCATGTTAGAAATAAGTCTGCACATTGCCACACCTGCCAACCGCTTATCAGTGCCCCCTAGCTTATTACAGACCAATTCAAACCTTATTGGTCACCCCGCGCCCCTTGTAAACCTCAACGTTCATCCTACAAAGTCCCATCGCAAGTAGAGAGACACAAACAAAGACAAACACAAAGTTGCCCGTATTGAAACGGCTGTACGCCGCATGGACCTGAAAACTCAATTCCCCTGTACACGAATACGGGGTAAACCGTGTGGGTTGACAGCTGTGTTAGCCTGCACGTTGCTGGGAAGGAAGCATGGATCACAGGCTGTAACTACCGCCACCACCACCCCTTTGGCAAGCGTCTTAGTGTCGTCTGCGGCGTCGCGAGCACACCTGAGGGTCCTTGTTCTTGTCGGCGAGGGCGTGCAGCTCCAGCAGCGCCTGGTTCACGCTCTTCTCCAGCTGAAGCGCCAGCTGCAGCGCCTCAAGGCCATTGCCCCACTCGTCCCGGTCCGGCTTCTACACTCGTGGCACGCGGCACCGCCATCGGCCGCGGTCACAGCTCTGTCCACGCGAATCCGTGGCTCGCTGTGTCAGCCTATGGTCATCTGAGTGAGCCTGTGCGTCTCCTGAGTGAGTCTGTGGGCCTCTGAGTGAGTCTGTGGGTCTCTTGACTGAGCCTGTGGGTCTCCTGAGTGAGTCTGTGGGCCTCTGAGTGAGTCTGTGGGTCTCTTGACTGAGCCTAAGGGTCTCCTGAGTGAGTCTGGGCCTCTGAGTGAGTCTGTGGGCGTCTGAGTGAGTTTGTGGGCCTCTGTGTGAGTCTGTGGACCTCTGAGTGAGTATGTGGGCTTCTGAGTTAGCTTGTGGGCCTCTGAGTGAGTCTGTGGACCTCTGAGTGAGTATGGGCCTCTGTGTGAGTCTGTGGGCCTCTGAGTGAGTCTGTGGACCTCTGAGTGAGTTTGGGCCTCTGTGTGAGTCTGTGGGCCTCTGAGTGAGTCTGTGGGCCTCTGAGTGAGTCTGTGGGTCTCCTGAGTGAGTCTGGGCCTCTGAGTGAGTCTGTGGGCGTCTGAGTGAGTTTGTGGGCCTCTGAGTGAGTCTGTGGACCTCTGAGTGAGTATGTGGGCCTCTGAGTGAGTCTGTGGGTCTCTGAGTGAGTGTGTGGGCCTCTGAGTGAGTCTGGGCCTCTGAGTGAGTCTGTGGGCCTCTAAGTGAGTCTGTGGGTCTATGAGTGAGTATGTGGGCCTCTGAGTGAGTCTGTGGGCCTCTGAGTGAGCCTGTGGGCCTATGAATGAGCATGTGAGTTTCTGAGTGAGTCTGTGGGTCTCTGATTGAGCCTGTGGGCCTATGAATGAGCCTGTGGGTTTCTGAGTGAGTCTGCGGGTCTCTGATTGAGCCCGTGGGCCACTGTGAGTGAGAAGGCCGCCTCACCTTGATGTCCTGCAGCACGACGCGGCCGCCACGCTTGTTCTGGTACTCGAGCAGCTTCTCGGCGTGGTCGCGCTCCTCGTGAGACAGCTCCTTGAAGAACTTGTGGAAGTTCTTCAGGGCCACGTCATCGCGGTCGAAGTAGTAGGCCTAGCGGGTCCAGGGGTGGAAATGTGGCACCTGTTAAATTTACCTGCTGCCTGGTTCAAGACGAGTACCACTCTCATACCGTGTCAACCCATAGGGGTTACCCCGTATTCTTGTACAGGGACATTGAGTTATTGGCGTACAGCCGTTTCAACACGGGCAAAAAAATGTGTCTTTGTTTGTGTTTCTCCCTTGTGATGGGGCTTTGTAGGATGAACGTTGAGATTTCTAAGGGGCACGGGCTGACCAATAAGGTCTGAATTGGTTTGCAATAAGGTAGAGCACTGATAAGGGGTTGACAGGTATGCACTCTGGACGGGTTTCTACATTCAGTACCTCATCAGCAGAGTCGGGCTCGCTTGAACCCACGTGATTGCACGCGAGTCAGACCGAGTAACAACGGCCTGATGTGATTGTCTATTTATTCGTGACAATATTTCACCTGATAATTGTTTTTTTACCCTTTTATCTGGCAACAAAACTGACACCTTTTTTACGAGGAGTCATGTTTGCATAGACCACAATACCTGCAGTCATAATGCAAACAAAAAACATAACTCTGATAATGTATGCACTATCCTTGAAGTTGATTGGTCCACACCCGAGACAGCTTTCCTTAGAGCCTAGTCTCACATGGGTTGGACCAGATGACGCCAAAAGGCGCAAAACTCAAAGACAATGCACTATCAGAGTATGAGAGCCCGGGGTAAGCATTAACACCATTGGTACCTCGTAAAAAAAGGTGTCAGTTTTGTTGCCAGATAAGAGGGTAAAAAAACAATTATCATATTTTTTACTGGCAACTGAGGTACCAATGGAATCTTTCACCTGCGACGCTCTTTGCCAAGCGAGCTGTTTCACCTGAAATGATTGTCCAGATGATAATATTGTTTATACACATATATGAAAATGTAACCGCACAAAGCAAGCAACGCAAAATGGAATCGCCCCGGGCCTTGGCTGTGTTGCCAAACTGATTGCGCCACGACTCTCGTGAACGCTGGCAAGCCGGCACGATAACAGGCCGCAACCGAGATGGGGATATCGGCAAGAGATTGGACATTCGTGGCCGGAGGGTGGCATTTCGAAAATCGTCCGGTGAGGCTGCCAACTCGGGAGTGCGAGAGAAGCCCTCTGCCGTTGCATCTGCGACGACGCAATTCCTGTTTATACCCTCCACAGTATGGTTCCCTCTAGATTTGAAGTTTTCGTGACTTGCAGGGGTCCATACTCTTTGGTTCTTTCGGTAAAGTCACGTAGGTATGAAATTACATGAATTAAATCACGGCGTTTCGGGCGCAACACAAGCGTCCGTCATCAGGTGGGACAACCACAGCAAGAAGCAATTGCTGAAATATGGTTCCCATTGTCCGCGAGAATCCACGACTTTCGATACTGTTCCCAATTATGCGCCAAAATCAAAGATCCCCCGTGTAGCCTTAGCAGGCTGGTCAGCAGAGGGCACGGCAGACGAGGGGGTGGGTGGCCAGCGCCATGCCCGGCCGCCTTTGTCTCCCCAGTACTCATATATACATACACGTTGAAACTAGGTACCAATTTAAGGCTGAGTTGACCTAAGGGGAGGCCCAGGACCGGTTCAAATATTCGTCACTGGTATTGAACTCGGGTGGTGGGGTTCGTAGCGCAGTGCGCTAACCACTACATGAGTTTTCCCCACACACATAGATACACACACACAGACACACACACAGACACACAGACACACACACACACAGACACACACACAGACGCACACACACAGACACACCACTCACAGACACACTCACAGACACAGAGACACACACCACTCGCAGACACACAGACACACAGACACACACAGAGACACACACACAGACACACAGACACACACACAGAGACACCACTCACAGACACATAGACACACACACACACCACTCACAGACACATAGACACACACACACACACCACACACACACACAGACACACAGACACACACACACACACCACTCACAGACACACACACACCACTCACAGACACACAGACACACACAGTCACCACTCACAGACACATAGACATACACACAGACACACACATACACACAGACACACCACTCACAGACACACAGACACACACACAGAGACACACACACACCACTCACATACACATAAACACACCACTCACAGACACACACAGACACCACAAACACAGACACATAGACACAACACAGACACACAGACACACACATACACACAGACACACAGACACACACACAGACACCACTCACAGACACATAGACACACACACACAAACACAAAACACGCACAGACAAACACGCAGAGACACACACGTAGACATACGCTAACACACGGACACGCAGACACTTCCACAAAGGTAAAAATAACAGACACACACACAGACACAAAGGGACACGCGCACGCGCGCGCGCGCGCACGTGCAAATCGACCTCGGTGTCGCCAGGTTTCGGAGCGCCACGCCGCTAACCGCTGCACCACCGCTCCCCGTCGCAATCGACACGGGTCCGCGTGTCGCTTGCGACGGGTCAGGGATCCGTCTGTGGCCTCCTCACCATGGAGCTGTAGACGTAGGAGGCGTAGAGCTCCTGGTTGACCTGCCGGTTGATGGCAGCTTCCACCTCCTGGGTGAAGTTTTGGCGAACCTGGGACGTCATCTTCTGTCAGCTGAAAGGGCAACAACAGGCGAAGGAGATCACAGGAGGAAGTTCCGTTCAAACACTGTTGAAGCTAGAACCCGTGTTTCCCGTGATGATATGCTGAATGCACGAGGCGCTGGTGGCTTATATAGTCTGTGAAGGCGTAGGGAGGCTGAGCCAAGTCACGCTCAGCCCAGCCTACTCACACTCACAGCCCAACCCACTCACAGCATACTCACACTCACACAAACCAGCATACTCCGGCTGATTGATGATGCAGCACTCACTGAGTCACTCACTCACTGGCGGTCGTTGTCTCCTGGTTACTCTTTTGTCGCTACTACCATGAACTCGCTCTATATACCAGATACTGCCTGTTGAGTTTCATCAACCACGCTGTGTTCAACAACCACCACCACACTGGAAGCCACAACAAAACACCCACTCATACATCCACCCACTCATCCAACCACTCACTCACTCATCCAACCAATCACTCATTCATCCACCCACTCACTCATCCAACCACCCACCTACTCATCCACGCACTCATCCATCCACTCACTCATCCATCCACCCACCCACTCATTCATCCACCCACCCACTCACCCATCCACCCACCCACTCACCCATCCATCCACCCACTCACCCATCCACTCACCACACTGCAGGTCACAACGCTTCTCTGCGTCTTCTCTCGCTCTGCTGCACACTGGAATTCCTCCTCACATAATCATCATCATCATCATCTCGTCCCCCCAAGCTCTTACAGCAACAACAACCTTGCTCAATTCCAGACACGTGGTACGCGCTTATCTATTAGAACTGCGACATTGCTGTTTGTTCCTGGCCGTTTGCTCTGTGCTTGTCAACTGCGTAAAAAATATAATAACCGGCCCACAAAATGAACTCTTACCACCTGGTACCTGGGGTCGCCACCTTTTTTCACGGACAAAAACGGGACAAGTGGCAACCGCAACTGCCTTCCAGCGTTACCACGACCACCATCACACAAAGTCGCCTTCCTTTCGCAACCACAACGCCGTCGCCACCCGTTCTGTTGTTGTCATTGTGAGTCTGTGGCTCTCCAATGGGGTCTTTGTGTGAGTCTGTGGGTCTGCGTGGGTCTCTGTGAGTCTCCGCGGGTCTCCGTGCGAGTCTGTGGGTCTCCGTGCGAGTATGTGGGTCTCCGTGCGAGTCTGTGGGTCTCCGTGCGAGTATGTGGGTCTCTGTGGGTCTATGTGCGAGTCTGTGGGTCTCTGTGGGTCTCCGTGCGAGTATGTGGGTCTCTGTGCGAGTCTGTGGGTCTCCGTGCGAGTATGTGGGTCTCTGTGCGAGTCTATGGGTATCTGTGGGTCTCTGTGGGTCTCCGTGCGAGTCTGTGGGTCTCCGTGCGAGTATGTGGGTCTCCGTGCGAGTATGTGGGTCTCTGTGGGTCTCCGTGCGAGTCTGTGGGTCTATGTGGGTCTCCGTGCGAGTCTGTGGGTCTCTGTGGGTCTCCGTGCGAGTTTGTGGGTCTCTGTGGGTCTCCGTGCGAGTCTGTGGGTCTCCGTGCGAGTCTGTGGGTCTCTGTGGGTCTCCGTGCGAGTCTGTGGGTATCTGTGAGTTTCCGTGCGAGTCTGTGGGTCTATGTGGGTCTCTGTGCAAGTCTCTGTGGGTCTCCGTGCGAGTCTGTGGGTATCTGTGGATCTCTGTGGGTCTCCGTGTGAGTCTGTGTGTCCCCGTGCGAGTATGTGGGCCTCCTGTTCGTATTGGTCAGCTCGATGGATGTTGGGAGAGACAAGACCGTTTCACATATCACGCGACGCCGATGACAGCCGTGATTGGATCGCCGCCAGTTCACTGTTTTAGCGGCTTTGCCGTGCCAGCAGAAGACGTGAGCTCAGCAGAGCCGCGCTCATTGTTTGGTTCAAAGGTTCAAAGTAGCGCAGAACGGTTAAACTTTGGACCCTTGGCATGACCACACGGGCCAGGCCTGTCAATCAACTGCTGAACGAGAGACTCCCACATGCCGCTCGGGAGAAGGGCTGTCTGACCATACTTCACCACGCTGGTCGACGCGGGCTCAAGGTGAAGACAGTGGAGAGGAGAGGACGGAACTCAGGATCAGTGTCGTTATCTGTCATGAGCGGATGTTGGCCGTGCCTGGGAATCGAACTCAGGTGACCAGGCTCATAGCAGGATTGTTAATATCGTTTTTGCTCGAATGGTAACCACGTAAAATTTTTTTTAAAACATTGAACCACATAAAAAAAACCGGTTAACAGTCTCGCGCACATATATACATGTCCATAGCAGTAAATACCAACAACAAGTTCCGCTTTTAACTGGTTAGCACGTAACTGGATTGGCAAAGCAGAGGTCGCAGATTTGATTCGATCTCCCGTAGCGCCGCCGTCTGAGTCGATGTCGCAACGGGGTCAATGAAACAACCCCCCCCCCCCAGGTGCCCTCCAACCTGCGTCTGCTGCTGGGGCCAGCCGTGAATGGGTGACGCATCGCCCGAGTCAAAGAGCAGGTCATGTGCGGTGATGGTGAAGGGCGGCTGGGACGCCCTCCGATTTTCAACACGTCCGGTCCATACTCGTTTGGTTATTCTTGGTTCTTTCGGTAAAGTCACGTAGAAGGGAAATAATAAAAGAAAAAAAGAAAACATGATTTATTATTCTTGGTTCTTTCGGTGAAGTCACGTAGAAGGGAAATAATAATAGAAATATAAAACAATAAAAATTCTCACGACGTTTCGACTGCAACGAAAGCAATCATCATCAGGTATGAAATCCACAGCAAGAAAATTAGATGTTTTTCTTCAAATTTTCGTGTGATGCGCCAAGCCTCGCCTCCACAGTGCTGGACTACATGAATAGCCACCACTGCTCCGATAACAATCTCACGGGGGGTTTTGTTGTTGTTGTTGTTGCGACGTGACGAACCGTCTACCAAGTCCCTAGAACGTGCGTGCGTTTCTGTGACCCACGTGGGGTCCCCCATCGTGTTCTCTCGCGCACTGCTGAGCTCTTGCGCCACTCCCCTGGACGTTGTCCACGTGTCTGAGCCATGTCAAAAAGCTAAAGGAGCAGCCCTGAAATCGCCTCTCTCGCACCACTGTTGGTGGAAGGGCCTCCACTACAGGGCGCTCCAGAGAGCCACTCTAGACCGACTTTATGTTTATTAGACAAGGTCCTACTAAATTTCGATTTAAAGCTTTCGTGACTGCAGGGATTCATCTTCTTGGTTCTTTCGGTAAAGTCACGTAGAAGGGAAATGATAAGATAATAAAAATAAAACATAATAAAATAAAAGAAAAAATATTTTATAAAAAAATGTATTTTATAAAAAAAAATTAATGTTTTATTTTTATTATTTTATTATTTCCCTTCTACGTGACTTTACCGAAAGAACCAAGAAGATGAAGGCCCACTAAGCTGTATATTTGTCAGAAGCGACCTGGCCACAAATGATAGCTCAACGAAGTGGCTTATTACGTGCAAGTGTACAGCAGCCAAACACTCTGAACGCACGTTGTTCATAGATGTGGAGGGGAAAATCGGAGAACCCGGAGAAAAATCCACGCGACCACGGGGAGAGCATGCAAACTCCAAATGTACAGGTGGCATGGTCGGGATCAAACCCGCGACCTCCTGCATACCAGGCGAGAGAGTCAACACATTCTTGCAGAGGGAGCTGGTAGGGACGTTGGGTTGCTCGGTCAATGGCCAGGGTCAACGGCGGCGTGGTGTATTCCGCAAATATGGCCGACTGTGAGGGCGGGCACAAGCCGGCGTGAGCAGGTTAAACGTTGAGTTTTGTAAGGGCGCCACGGGGTGACCAGCCCCTACCCACCCAGCCCCACCCCTCCTACCCCCCACCAGCCCCACCCTCCCCATCCAGCCCCTCCCCACCCTCCCCACCCAGCCCTTCCCCACCCAGCCCCACCTAGCCCCACCCTCCCCACCCAGCCCCTCCCTACCCTTTCCTCCCAACCCAGCCCCTCCCTCTCCACCCAGCCCCTCCCTGCACGACGGACTGACGGACACAACAATCCCCTGTGGGCTGGTGTAACCAGGAGGTTCCTACCAGTAACATCTCCTAGCCACCGTGGCGCCCGCCGTAACTCCAGAGGCCCCACCCGAACAGGGCACTTTTGGCCACGTTTTGGGGAGACCTTCAACAGTTGCTAGATGGCGACAGACGCTGCTGATGATGCTACTGGCTGTCTGCATGTCACGCCGAGGTCATCCAGCGCCGGGTAGACTCACACAAAGACCCATAGACTCGTACAGAGCCTCCCCCCCCCCAGCAAATGCCAATGGTGGGCTGGAGGCGTCTTCGTCCCCACGTCAGCCAGCGACTCGTTGACCTACCACCCCTCCTCCCCCACTCCTCCACCAGGTGTAACTTGCTCGACCGGACCCGTCTGGTTGAGCTCAGGCCGAGCGCGGCCACGCGTCTCGCGACTCGGGTGCGTTCGCCGAAGCCGCGACGGAGTCGCTCTGAACCAGAGGTCGCAAACGGGTTTTGATTCCTTATCCGTACCCGTACCCGGCCGTACCAGGGTCGCAAACGGGTACCCGTACTCGGCCGGGTACGGGTAGCCGGGTATCGGGTAGGGTACGGGTATCGGGTACCTGGTTGCGACCTCTGCTCTGACCACAGCTCCCCTCGCGGTAGCCACTCGAGTGCACGATGCGAACATCTCGTCAGCCACGGGGCTCAACGGGGAGGGTTCGTAAATGTTCAAGCTTAGCGAGGTGGGTCAGATGTGTCCACTCTTTCACCAGGAACATCCCTGGACACCCTTGCACAACGAAGTTGGATTTTCGAAATGTGCATTGCTTTTTTTAAAATTATCATTACTTACGGATAATTCACCTGAACCCCCCCCTCCTGGGTTTGGAACATCACATTTACGAGGCGGTGACCGTGAGGCAGTGTTGGTATGTGGGCCTCTGTGTGAGTCTGTGCGTCTCTGAGTGAGTCTACGGGTCTCTGAGTCTGTGGGTCTCTGAGTCTGTAGGCCTCTGAGTCTGTGGGCCTCTGTGTGAGTCTGTGCGTCTCTGAGTGAGTCTGTGGGTCTCTGAGTGAGTCTACGGGTCTCTGAGTGAGTCTGTACGTCTCTGAGTGAGTCTACGGGTCT